CTCACTGATTAAGGCGTTTCCTCCTTTCCTGATCAACCACTGGGGAAACCCAGCACCACAGCGTAGGAAAAGCTCCTGAAAAACTGCAGCGAATTTGTACTCTGCCTTCTGGAAGGGTCTGTGCCTCCTACCTGAACCTAAACCAAGAAGGCTCACTACTGGTAGTGGGAAACTTAGCCTGCTACAGAGCTCAAGGCCACTGTGCCTATGATGATTCTGGGAGACAAAGGAGTGGCCTTGGATAAGTGTGGCAAGAGGCTCAAAACCACTGGCCAGGCAGCAAAGTGGGGTGAGGGGGAAGCTATGAGCCAAGGCTGGCCGGAGGGAGGATGCCCAGACTGGCTACTGTTTCCAGCCCAGGCAGTGTCAAGAGTCACGTGCTCCCATCTGCAGAATCCTTGACAACCTTTCTGCAGGATGGCTTTAAAGCCACCATCTCTTCCTGCTCCCGTAGCCCTGGGGGGGTTCACAAGGGAGTTTCTGTATCACTTTGGCAGGGGAGTGAAATCCAGCAGTGGCTTGGAGACCTCAAGTGACTTGCTTTAACTCCCAGAGCTAGTGAGGACAGGCCCTGCAGAGGAAACCCAGCTTCCTAATTTCTAGGCTAGTGTCCTGCTCTTGCAGTCTGCTTCTTCCCCAAGGAAAACAGCAATATTACTATCAAAAAGAAAGAAGGCAACATGGGAGTCACAGTCTCTTTTCTACTTTGGGCAGGCAGGTTCCCGTCTCTTCCGGATGGTCACTCCCTTCCACTTTCAGGAATATTTATGATTATTCATATGGTTGTTGTAGGACTGCTAAAAACAGCTAGACAAATAACTTTCCTTTCTAGAATAATCACCAGCATCTACACAGCTAGGTTTACTCTGGTTAGTAGATTGCATTTTCCCCTCATATAAGAATCTGGAAACTGGGCAGTGGCTCCCAACTGTAATCCCAGCTACTCGGGAGACACAGGTTGGAGGATCGAGGTCAGAGACAGGTCCCAGGAAAAAACTCAAGATCCTATCTAAAATATAACTAAAGCAAAAAAGGGCTGGAGGTGTGGCTGCCTAGAAAGTGCAAGGCCCTGAGTTCAAACTTCTAGTACTGTCCCTCAAAAAAAAATCTGGATTTGAAATATAAATTTCCAGTGAACACAGACTGAAAAGAACAGAACCAGAAACTGTATTTTGGAGAAATACATAGTTTCTAAGGCATAATAGGAGCTGTTAAATTAATCAAGCAGAATGCAGTTCATAAAGTGTAGGAGGAAGAAATGCAAATGTTAATGTATACTGGCAGAATCTATACTTATCTTTTACACAGAGTAAAGAAACTTACACAATCAGAAAAGAAAACACTAACATGCACAAAGGAGAGAAAGGACATGAAAAGTGGAGATTTGGGTTCCCTGGAAACATAATCTGTGAGGTTTGCTATTCTGACATGCTAATTTTTCAAACAGAAGTTTAGGAATTCTGTGAATGCATTCAGAAGGAACTAGAAAAAGAGAGAGAAAGGCAGGATTAATAACGAACCCATGTGATGTGGATTGTTCCTACTGGAATAGCATGTATCAAAAAGCCAAAGCAGAATGCTCAATCCTATAAACAGAGTAAGAATACCTACTACAAAGGTCTTTTAGTCAATCAACAGCAGTTGTAAGGCTTTTAAAAATATTCAAGTGACAAAATAACTATTTTATTAGATTTTAAAATAAGATGAGAAACTGCTGACGGCTTTTAATCTGGGGTGGCAGGGGTGGGGGGCTTTTCACTTAAATCCCCATCCTGCTACTAAATAGCATAACTCCCACAGAGAAAATCTTCACCGAGTACTGATCGCCACTTAAGTACTAGGGGACTTTGGGAGCCCTTTTCACTGATTTCTCAGTTCTGTGCTTTCTTCTGTGGTGCTGGGGATGGAGCCCAGGATCTCACACAAGCTGGGCCAGTGCCACTCACAGTGCCATTTCTTAGTTCTACTCAACAGCCAGTCCTGCACAGTGGCTGGTGGATGTAGAGAGGACACAGGTGAGGAAATGAGCCTAACAGTTGTGTTTTAGCAAGAAAACAAAGTCTCCATTCAAATCTTTGCTCTGACATGTGACTTCTTACACCTTTTCTGAAATGCTTGGGACCAGAGGTATTTCAGACTTTGGATTTTTTTTTTTTTTCGTGGTACAGGGATTTGAACTCAGGGCCTACACCTTCAGCCATTCCATGAGCCCTTTCTTTTCGATGGGTTTTTTCAAGATAGGGTCTCATGAACTATTCGTGTGGCATGGCTTCGATCCTCCTGATCTCTGCCTCCTGGGCAGCTAGGATTACAGGTGTGAGCCACTGGCGCCCAGCTTGGATTTTTCTTGGGGGAGGATATTTGCATATAGACATAGTAATCAAGTTAAACAGGAAATTCATTTATGCTTCATATCTGCTTTCTACACAGAGCTTGAAGACAATTTTTATTCAATATTTTAAATCATCTTGCTCATGAAACAAAGTTTCACACAGGAGATCAGATGTGGAATTTTCCCCTTATGGCGTCTCACTGGGGCTCAAACATTGGGATTTTGGAGCATTTTGGATTTGTGCTTTTAGATCAGGGATGACTGCGGTTTGGATTGAGAGGGTTTGAATTTGCCTCCCTAGGGGTCATGTGCAGGAAGCTTGGCCCCAGCTTGCTGATGTTAAGAGGTGGTAGAACCTTTAAGAGTTGGACCTAGTGGGAGGTCACTTGGGGCATCACCCTCAGAAGGAACTGATATAGTTCTTAGGGGACCCTGGTTGGTTATCTCCTGGGGATTGTCACACAAAGAGCGAGACTCCTGTCTGTGCTCTGGCGTCTTGTCTTACCATGAGCCATGAGCTCCTATCATGGCGATGCCATCCACCACGAGGTCCTTACCACCAGAGCTACACTGATTCCAGAAATCAGGCCTTTGAGCCTCCAGATCTGTGCCCTAAATAAACCTCTTTTCTTTATAAATTATCCATCTCCAGGTATTTTATTATAGTAACAGAAAATAGACAATGCAGGGATGCTCAACTTATCGAATACATGTCACCCCTCGCCAATTTCCAGAAAGAGCATGTCAAGGAATGCACCCACATACATGCAAATCCCTCATCAGTCAACCCTGTTACATCCACTATTAGCCAATCAATTAACCAGAACCAGAGAGTGCTTTCAATGTAAGTGCAAGATGATTAATGCAGGCCACTACGCTGACACCAGCATCTCTACCCTCCCTGAGCTGATGATTTAGGAACTCAGCGCTCTCATCAACTAAACATAAAGAGATCAAAAGATCACCTTCACTGCAAGGCATTACGTCCCAAGGGTTAGAAGATGGCCTCAGCGGTGAGTGAGTCCAGAAGGAAACATACGGATTGGTGTGTTTAGAAGGCACATTATAAAGAAGAAAGGAAACAAAGCCTGGAACAGTAGGGGCAAGAAAGCATCATGTACTTTTCCATGGAAAGGCATGGTGATTTCTGCTGCTGCATTTGTCACGGGAAGCAACACTCCTGAGTGGAAATGGAGTATCTCACATGATCTCTGAGAGCATATGCTAGAACGTGCTTTTCATCACTGCTTTTAGTACACAGGGTCTAGCAGCAATGGGGGTGCTTCCAGTCACTCACTAAGACTGCCTTATGGGAGTTAAAATGAATCAACAAATGACCTCATGAGAACTAAATAAACAAGGCCACATAAAGACAAGAGAATGGTTCCCAGGTCATCACATCTAATCTACAACTTCTCTGAACTCATTCACATGTCTATCCAGAGACTATGTGTTGCTCTTCACATGAACTCCTGGTTATCCATAGAAGCCTGGAAACCATCTCCAAAAGCAAGACCCAGTGGGGCTCACGAACAAGGTCTCCAGGAAAAAGATGGCTTTAGAAAACAGTCTTTGTGGATTCCAATGTCTAGGAAAGAGCTTCCTGATCTGGAAAGGAGGCAGGCATGCTGACAATGACTTTGAGCACCCCGGCCACTTGTAAAATAGCTGTTCTCAGTCTGCTAATATTAAATGCTGGATTTACTGGGTCCTTGTCCTGGTACGTTATTTGCTACAAAGAAGTTATAAGGAAAAGAGGTCTTTTTTGGCTCACAGTTATGGTACAAAGCTGAGGAGTGGCATCTGATGATGGCTTTCTTGTGGGCAGAGTTCTGAGGGGGTTCAGGGCATCACATGCCAGGGACAGGGAGCATGCTTGTATTGCTCTGTTTTCTCTTTTTCTTCCTATAAAGCCACCAGTATTCCACCATGGGGGCCCTAAACTGATGACTTTATGGAATCCTAATCCCTGACCCCACCTCTAAACACCACGGTTGGGTCAAATTTCTACATTCTTAACACATTATAAAGAGGATTAAACTCCAACATGAGTTTCAGAGGAGACAAGCTATATTCAAACCATGGATGTCCCAACCGCAAACTTATACACAACTCACAACTATTGTTTATGATGGAGATTGTGTGCTGGTTCCTATGTAATTCCCCACTAAACTAGCAGGTGGTATTAGCAAATTCTGAGTTCAAACCAGTGTTGTAAGAAAGAGAACTGCAACTCTGACTGATCAGGCGAGCGCTACTGGCTTCTGAACGAGTCCCTCTGTTTCCTTATTAACACATTAGTAACTATAATTGCACCTACTTAGTGGGAGTTACCATAAGGACTCACAGTTTCCAGCACTTAGGAAGTCCTGGGTAAGTGTTTACAGTCCGTACTCCGTCACTTTCACAATCGGCCTGCTTATCCACTGACAAAAGACTGAACTGATGATCACACTCACTTCCCTCTATAATCCCGTATCAATGACCCAACTAGGGGAAATGGGAACCAGCTGAATGCCAGCCATTGCGTGGTCCAGGGAAGATGCTTCTGCTCCACGCAGAGCTAATGAGGGACCAACACTGGCAGAGGACAGCTCTGCAGCACAACAGACAGGCTGAGGCCCCAGTAATAACGCCATGGCCAGCTTCGAACAGGGGAGAAACTCACCACATAGAGCTTGCGCCAGATGACCGCCCATTCTCGCAGAGTGCACGTGAGCTCCTGCACCAGCGGGAGCTCCCCGGGAATCACGGTCTCGTGCTGCCTGGAGAGAACCAATCAGAGACCGGCTTTACTGGATGTGATTGGAGAGAACCAATCAGAGACTAGCTTTACTGCACGTGACTGGAGAGAACCAATCAGACACATGCTTTACTGCACATGCCCGGAGATGCTTTTGACTCAACACTTCCTGACACTTGAACCCAGGAGCGAGGCTGCTCTGACATGAAGGAAAGCAATCCTACCCAAGGAGGGACACGTGCAGTGGAGGGCACTGGGACACATCTAGGCATCGGAGAAAAGAGAAAGTTTAAGAGAGCTCAGCCTTCAAACTGAACTCGGTGCTTGCCTCCCTACCTTGGTTTTCTCTGGGAGCCTCAATGACCAAGCCAGGCTGGCTTAGGGACCCTCAGATGGAAGCTAAAAATCAAGTTCTTTACTTGGTTCCACTGAGCAGCTGTTTCGTTTAGAAAGGTGGGTGGAGGTGTACCTGGCACAAGGTCGGGGGCAGTGACCTTGTCCGTGACCTGCTGGCAGGGCCTGAGTCATGCCCTCCTCTAGAATGGCCTGGGTTTTCTTCTCATCTGCTGTTTCTAACCATAGGAAATACAGATCTGTCAAAGTCCTTGCTTATAGTAGACTTATTCTAGGTTTATTCACATAGATCCTCTCTGGAATTTCTATGATTAGCAAAAGGAGAAAGAGCAAGAGCAAGGGAACAAACGGGAAGAACGGGAGGAATGAGGGACCAACACTGATGCTTAGCAAAGTGTGGATTTCAGGAAGAGTGAGGTAATGTGTTAGGATGAACGTGACTCATGAAACCCAGGCATATTCACTATGAAAAATTACAGACGGCCCTGACTTAGGATGGTGTGATTATGATGGTTTGAAAGCTTATCCATACAGCTCTTTTGTTTTTCACTTTCTGTACAGTATTCAATAAATGACATGAGGTACCCATGTCACATAGGCTCTGTGAGAGATGAGTTTCCCAATTGCAGACTAATGTAAGTATTCTGAACACACTGAAGGTAGGCCAGACTAAGCTATGATGTTTGGTAGTTAGGTGAATTAACTACATTTTTACTGCCTTTAGCAGTAAAAATGCTAGTGTATATTAATTGTACATAATGGGTTTCATAGTGACACAGTAACTCATATTTTTAATGTACAATGGGTTTATCAGGAGGTAACCACATGGTTAGAGGAACATTTGTCTCTGTTATCTGAGTAGCAAATTTAACTGGGCAGCCTACATTTCATCTGGCAACCTTAGTTAGGTGGAACAGGCCTCCCACTGTGCTTTCCTCCAATGTGACAAGTGATACTTGGAGGCTGCGCAGGAATTGCCCACTGGAAAGAGGACTTCTTCAGGAGGAGAAGGAGACCTGGTACTTGGTCCTAGTTCTGCCAAGGAAGAGCCATATGAACTTGAGCACCTCTCTACCTCTGGCCTTAAATGAGGATGCTAAGCTTAGGACCAAAAATATTCTCTCTAGCTTTGAGATTATGTGACTCTGTGACCCAGCTGTCCATTCCTCCCCTACTCCATGGAGATCAGTGTGGATTTCACGCCTACCTCTCCTATTGCCTCCTTAATTCTCTTGCCCATGGATGGCCATGGAATGATGAACTCAGCTGCCTCCCTCTCCCACTTTGGCTGAGTGTGTCACTCTTCTTATGTGCCACAAAGGCAGTGCTTCCCAGGACAAATGAAATGGCAAGAAGTTAGGACAAAATGGAACAGTAAACCCAAGAGGAAGGAAGGCCCTCAGCTCATTACTAGGGGAAGGATGCCAGGAAGGAACAATGATAGAAAGAGAAAGCAGAGGAAGGAATCACATCAGGAAAATATTTTAAGTTGTTTCTCTCTCATAGAGAAATGGAACCGATGAGATGGGAAAAATATTAATGGCCTTTCTTCTATGATAATCTTATACCTTTATCACCTTTTAGGAGTCTTCCTTGACTGGAACTTACCCTCGGTCTTCCACAGTTGCCTCTTTCAAATGAATGTACGTTTCAGGGAAAATACCCTATGGAAAAAAGAACTTTGCTTAGGCAACTATTTAATAAATGAATCCCAAAGTCAGGAGCAGCAAGAATAATTGGGAACACCTTGACCACAGGGACATTCTCCCTCAGTTTTGCAGGACATCAGTAACATTGACTTGCTACCTCAACAAAGGCATAATGGAAACAATGAAAGGCAGAAATTAAGATTCAGGTTCAGAGTGCATAGGATGTTTCATAAATAAAGAGGCAGAAATGTCCCCATCGGCTCAGAGCTTTATCAATGTAAGAAGTTGAATAGTGAGGTCGTAGAACTCCTCCAGATCCATGCAGGAGAAGCTTTGCAGTAAAGGGTCTCACGCGGTAAGTGAGGTGGATGGATATGGAGGACAAAGTAGCCCAAGAAATTATCATGGCTTTCTAAAGAAGTTCCCTCAATACTCTCAACCAATGCAACCAAATTAAAGATACTAGTTATCTGGTTACTTTCAGCATTTCACAGTCTCAAATTGTTCCCCCTTTTACATCCCTAAGAGGCAACTGTACATCAGTATTGTGACATTGCCCATGCAGCAAAATAAGGCCCAAAAAAACAAAGTGGAAGACATGAAACCACTGGGTAGAAGCTAAGCAGCTGAGGATGAGATCTACCAGTGGGCATCATGTCATCCTTGTGTGTTTTCTTATATACCAAAAGCTCTTGCTGTTTCACTGTGTAATGTGTTCATGGACCAGGAGAGGAGACATCATCAGGAGAAGGCACTGCCAACCTCTCCTTCTTATAAGGCTGACATGCCAAGGCTGACCAGGAAGAAGAGGAACCTAACCAGGCATGGGCTCATGCCTGTAATCCTGCCTACTCAGGAGGTAGAGACTGGGAAGATTGAAATTTGAGGCCAGCTTGGGCAAAAAGTTGGTAAGACTCCATCTCAAACAATAAAAGCTGGCCTGTCATCCCAACTAGGCAGGAAGTATAAATAGGAGGATCCCTGATTCAGGCTGGCTTGGGCATAAACTCAAGACCCTATCTGAAAAATAACTAAAGCCAAAAGGGCTGGGAGCATGGCTTAAGTGGTAGAGCACCTGTTTAGGAGGCACAAGGTCCTGAGTTCAAACCCCAGTACTGAAAAAAAAAAAAGAACCTGCTTTGCTGGTATCTCCACTCAAGTGCTCTCAGCTCTGCTCCTGGAAGAACTAATATGAAGTAAATTTTATGGACACTACGTGTCAGGGGTGTGGGGTATCCCACTGCCCAGAGGACTGTGGTTAAGGGTACATGTGCACCCTGTGACCCTTAATAGGATGAGAAACCAACGAGTGTCAACAGGGCTTGCTCTTGTGTCCAGTTTCACATACTATATTTGTCTGTATAATACTCTTTCTCCCTTTTCATCCTTTGCCAATAAAACAGGAAACAGAAAGAACGCTGGGGATTAAGCTGCTCCCAGTATGGGTGATGACAGAGCGGATCCTGCAACTGCTCAAGGCAAAAGCAAAAGGGCACATCTGCTACCAACCAGGCAGAAGGGACCACAAAGAAACCGCATGCTTTCTCCTCCTTGCATGCAGAAAGGGGTGTGAATGTGTGTGTGTGTGTGTGTGTGTGTGAATGATAAAGAACAGTCACACACAGGAGATGACCCTGAGCTCTTTCATTACAGGTATTGGATGCAGAGTGGTTTGAGAAAGCTGATCAAACAGTAAAACACAAGCAAAAATTCAATGTATGTGTAATTCATTTTGAACCTGACTTCTGAAGCTCTGCAGCCCTCTATCTGTCCTTAGGCAATCTAAGGGGCAGTGGACATTCCTTCTGTTGCTGAGCAGAGACCCATGATTTGTTGACTGTCATTTCCATAGAGATTTAGACTTGGCCATCCAGAATTCTCCTTGGGGATGTGATACTAAGTGGAAGAAGCCAGTCACAAAAGACTTCAATGAGCCACGTGGAGCAGTCAGGTTCACAGAGAGAAAGTAGAATGGGGGTTGCCGGGGGCTGCAGGAAGGGGGACAAGGAATTAGTGTTTAATGTGCACAGAGCTTCAGTTGGGGAAGATGAAAATGTTCTGGAGATGGTGGTGGTGGAGGCAGAACAGTGTGAATGGACTTGATATGGTGAGCTACACACTTAAAGATGGTTAAGATGGCAAAACTTGTGTTATATACTGTTAGACCACAAAATAGTCCAGAACTCATTTTAAAAAAAAAAAAAAAGAGGGACTTTGGGTAGGGATGATCTGCTTAAAGTAGCAGCTATACCGTTAAAATAAGTTGTAACTGGGCTGGAGGTGTAGTTTGGTGGTATAGCATATGCCTAGCATGTGTGAGGCCCTGAGTTTTATCTTCCTGGGGAGGACCAACCAATCAACAAATAAACCAAACAACAACAAAAACCCAAACACGTAACATTGCTGTTCCTAAGGTACATCTTTGCAGAATGGTTTTCAAATCAAGATGGTGAAGAGCAAATTAAAATTTTCATACATTCATAATCTGATAATTCACAATGGTAACTGAACTCCACTAATAATTAGGAGACATTCAAGACAGAAGTATTGAGAACTGCAAACAGTGATGGTCTTATGACATCTAAGCTGATCGTAAGCAAATAACTCATACTTCTGTACACATGAAGACATGGACATTGAGAGGATATCACTACCCTGCCGTTTGTAGGCATCCTAGTGCCATGACAGTACTTGGTCATTTATAGTCATTTATTCACACTGGTAAAAGTGATGCTTATAGAACTTTTCCTACACCACTGTGGCATACAAAAAGCCAGAGCAAACCTGGGTCATATATTTCAGATTTACAGGCTATCTCTCAATGGAACTTACTTAAATTAAAAAAAAGAATAATGATTTTTCTAGATACTGCCCTTATCCACACTCCCACAATTCTGCCAGGATCAATAATCAGCTTCTTCAAAGCTCCTGCTTACTCAATTTGTAAAGCCACTAGCTCCTTTTATCACCACTCTAAATGGCTAGGTCTGCTTATAACTGACACCAAGAATTTCTATTAAAACAATGGGCCTTTCAAATAGCTCTTCTGCTAAGACAGGAACAGGAGGTGCACGCATGAGAAAACTGTCCCTAATGGGCTGGATTTCTTAATGAGGGGTGTCAAAAGCCAAGCTAACTCACTACAACTAGCTTTGAGTTCTATTTTCCTTGGATCTCTTCATAAGAAAGACATTTCAACTTAAAACACCCAAAACATCAATGCATTCTTTTTGTTTGTGTCTTTGTGTGTTGTATTAGTTTTTCTTTGTCAAGAACAAAGAGAACCTTTTACTGAAATAACTCTGCTAAAGGGTGAAATTTTAAGCTTAAAGAAAGGTTGTAAGAGCCCTCTAATGCATATAAAAATATTAAAAACATATCTAGAACTCATTTAGATGCTTGTAGGGTATCCTGCCTGTCTACTTTTGGTTTGGTTTTTGTTTATTTTGGTGGTTTAATATAGGGTTTGAAGTCAGGGCTTGTGTTTGCCAAGAAGGCTCTTTACCACTTGAGCCATAACCCAGCCCGACCTGTCTATTTTTCAAAGCAGACGACAGGGCACTACTAGCTCAATGGATTTGGATCTGTTAAAGAAATCACAGGACACTTTAGAAACCAAGCACTTCCATGCTAGAAAGAATCCTTACAGGCAAAGTGTAGATCTAAAAGGGAAGACTTGGATCTGAGGCAGTTTCAAACTTGTGACATTTATCATTAAAAAACCAACAACGGTGTTTTTCTTTATGTTCCATCTAATTTTGTCTGAGAATGGGTTTTGTTATAAAGAAGGATTGGGCCGGGTGCCGGTGTCTCAGGCCTATAATTCTAGCTACTCAGGAGGCAGAGATCAGGATGATCGTGGTTCGAAGCCAGCTGGGGCAAATAGTTCGTGACACCTATCTCGAAAACACCTACCACAAAAAGGGCTGGTGCAGTGACTCAAGGTGTAGGCCTTGAATTTAAGCTGGTACCACAAACAAACAAAGAAACAAAATAAAAAAAAAAAAAAGAAGAATTGGGATGTAAGTGACATGAATATTCTCTATCAAATTCAGAACTTCAATGTTGCTAACTCTTACTGCACCCTGAATTAACTGCCAGTTCAGTAATCAGGAGTAAAATAAACACAGGGCTGGCCAGCCCCAAGCCCAGCAGTGGCCTGTGCCAGGCACTGTCGCTCTGAGATCCTCTCGGAGGAGTCTTCTCTTGCTTTCCCTCTCCAGCTCGTCTGAACACGCTAAAGTGGGCGACATGAAGTGAAAACAGCTCAGCCGGGCGTGAAGATACACGGCACGAGAGTCTCACAGTACACAGAAAAGATTAGCATCGGGGTTTGGGAAGGACAAAAAGACCAAGACTGGAGGACATGCCCAGCCTGCACAGCAAACTCTTTTGTTTTGTTGAATGACTGAATTTTCATTAAGAGTGAAATGTGTGCACACACCAGTGTGCCAGCAGAGAGTGTGACCGAGGAACCAACGACCTCGGTCACACTCAGCCCTGGTGTTTCACGGCCTCTCCTTTGTAGGAAGGCATTTTGGGGACCCTGTGCCCTTTGGAAAGTTGGGTGTCCAATATTACCCCACCTATGTGGGATTAGTTCTAGCTCCCTCTGTGGGTTTTTTTCCCCTCCTCCCATCTTGATAAATTCAAGTGTTTCTCTCACCCCTTTCCTACTTTACTATTGTGCCTGTGAGCTAATTGTGAAATAATAAGGGCCTCTTGACTGTTCTCTTTCAAAAGAAAGTGCTGACATGCTATGCTGCCCCAGCGAGCAGTATCAAAGGAAAAGCACTGACAGAGCCTAAAATAAACCGAGGGGGGCATTAACACGACTAATAAACTTCCCTTGGCTTGACAATTAGTAGCTTTGACACTGGGAAATGGAACAGTCTACATCAGGACTTTTCAAACTCTGCCCATGGTAAACAGTAAGAGATACATTTTTATGGCAGCCCATACTACACATCAAATACATAAAATGGAACAGAAATGTGTGAAATGCATGAACATTTACACCTAAGGTAAAAGTGTCATGAAGCAATACTCACCATTGGCCCCATTGCCTTCTGTCTTTTTCAGTAACATGTTGGTCGTCATCTACTATACTGACTTCACAGTGAATTACTAGGGTGGTGGGACTCAGTTTAGAAATCACTGCTCTGGTTTGTCCACTTACAGTGAAGGAGAGAATCTGGGAGACCCCCTCAGCTCTGGAATTTTAGCATTGCAGTGAAAGATGCAGGGAGATGAGCACCTCCCCACCCGAAAGTTCACACTGGAATGTTGTTACTGTTTTAGCTCAGCTGAGGGATGGGAATAAGAAGTCATCCAGGACCTTCTTGAATTGAGCAAATACAGTGATAAGATTTACACCATTATTCTTGGACATTGAAGTCAGACAAGTTGCTTCCAAAGCAAAGAAAAACCCATGAAAGAGAAAGCAAGCTAGGTCTAGGGCGAGAAGGAAAGGGATCAAGAAGAACAATGCAAAACTAGTAGCACTCAAACAAAATTTTAAAATTCAAATGAGAAGCTGTACCTTTTTAGATTTATTCTGGAGAGTGTACCCTCTGTACCAACCTGTCAGGGGATAAGAGAACAAAAATTTTTATGTTTGCAAGAATAACATAAATATATCACCAATATACATTCTCTTTTTTATTAGCAATACTGAGACAATTTAGCATACAAGATATTAAAATATTCATTATACAGTCAAGGTTCCATTTTATATTTTTAAAATAACTATAGGATTTAAAATTCACTTAGAAACAAGCCATCTCTACTCCTTTGGAGGAAAGACAGAACAAAAGCAAGACAGAAGGCAGCCCAACCTCTCCACACCTCAATACCATGCAGTCAGTCGCCCACCTTTGCAAGAATGAGCACTCAGTTTCATTATAGATTCTGCAAGTCACCTTACACCATTAAAATAGACACATTAAAATAATTAATATTGGCTTTCTCATTCTTCTCCATCTCCAGGTTAAGAACCATTAGTCTGGATGAATTTTAAGTTGGAGCAGCAAACTCTATCTTTATAAATATTTGCACCTAAAAAATTCAAATGATAAAGCAACATTTTATGTAATTCTTGGTAATGCTATAAGAATTCTATGAGATTTCTATGTGATTTTATGGGTTTGCTGAGGCTTTAGGTAAAGCCATTTATATTAGCTATTTGGTGGTACTGGGGTTTGAGCTCAGAACCTAGGGCTGTGTTTGCTAGACAAGCAGCTCTACCACTTGAGTCTTGCCCCCAGTTCTTGCTTTGCTTTGGTTATTCTTCAGATAGGTCTCATGATTTATATGGGAAATGGCCTCAGACCGCAATCCCCCTACCTATGCCTCCATCAGGAGCTAGAATTGTAGACAAGCACCAACAAACTTGGCTTGTTTTTTGTTTTGTTGCTACAATGTCTGCAGCCAAACTTGTCCCCAGGTGCCAGGGCAGGAGATCCAGAGTTCATAAGCAGCAGAGTTTGATGTGGCAGCCATCTGGGCCAGCCCCCACCATGACAGGGGATGAATTTGACTTGACTGCAACTGGCTTATTTCTGAGATGGGATCTTGTTCACTTTTTGCTGGGGCTGGCCTCAAACTGCAGTCCTGCAGATCTCTGCCTCCTGAATAGCTAGGATTATAGGGTGTGAGCCATTGAGCGCAGGTCTAACTTCTTTTTAAAAATTCCAATACAAGCATAGATACCTAGATACTTTCCCACCAGTTATCATAGCTCATACAATCTATTCTGCCTATAAACATATTTTTATTAAAAATTATTGAACACCTAGTATGGACAGTTCACTGAGATAATTTTCCTTATCCCCATGCTCATCAACTAAGGTACCAATGTGGTCCTCTTGCCTACGAAAACCTGACTGTAACTAGCACATGTGTAAGTCAGCCACATTCTCACAGGGAGTGGAGGCAAACTGTAATTAGACTTAAGGTATTTGCCAATAGGGTTTTAAAACTTTCTTGCAATTTGTTCCATATGAAACAAACCAGAAAACAGCCACATAATCTATGCTCTATATAAACAGACAGCTGAATTTATCGTCTTTGGGTATAGATTCAATATTTTCACAAATTCTAAACTGTCAGTAGCATTCAAAGATTCAGTAAAAGGCTTTGCAGTGTGTTGCAGGGAAGGTAGAGTGGGGGCTCTGCTGTAGAATTGTGATCTGTGTCAAGTTACGGGGTGGAGAAAAACATATTTGGGAAGCATTGACAAATTTCTCCCCAGGGCTCAAGGTCTGTGCCAAGTTGGACACACTTGCTCAGCTCTGCTAAAACATGAAGACGGTTTTGCATGAGTGATTAGCATCAAGGATGACTCTAGGGCCAAGCTGAGAAACACCACTTTGGTCTCTTCCAAGCAGTTTTCATCTTTCTAGGCCCATAAAGCCAAGACCTCATGATACAGACTTTAATTCAGAAAAGAATTTATCTGTCCTTTTGTAAGTAGTATTTTACAGAGCCATTCATCAGAGAATTATGCTTCCTAAACCTGTCATTTCTGAAAAGCTCCCTTTGAACCTCCTAGCTTTCCTCTAGAATTATGAGATGTGTGTAACTGCTACAAAAAAAAAGCACAAAATTATCATTTGTGAAAAGTGAATTTGTAAAAGTGAACTCTCATTTGCATGGCATCAGGTAGTAAAAAAACATAATCTCTGAGTTTTAACCATTTTCTGACTACCAAGACTCTGTAAGTTCAATTGCTAATAACCACAGGGGATGCAGAAACAGCTCCAAGTGTGTTTGCAATTTCCTCATACCCAGGCTGGTTGAAATTCAAAGAAGAACACCATTTAACAACTATCTCAAATATGTAAAATTAGATGATCATAATTAAACACAGAACATTCTTAGACTTCAAAACACATCATGACTGAAGAGGCAGCAGAGGTTGTATCAAGCAGCTGTGATGGCCGGTAGTGTCAAATGGCTTGTGGAATGTCACATGCTCTCTTAAATTATTGCATTTTAAAAATAATGGGACTGGTAGGTGATGGTGAGTCTGGAGAGGACTCCTACCTACATTTACGTAAAATGACAATCTCAAAAAGTTAAGTTTGCAGCAATGATGGTGAACTCCGAAAGCTGTTTATGTTAAGTGTTGCTCATACAGGAGGTTAAGAAGTCATTTCTCTCTTCCTAGGACTGCCCCCATCCAAAATAAAAAAACTGTCTCCTCTGATTTAAAAACATCAGAGATCCTAATTCCCACTGTCAAAATCACTTACCTTATCTCACTTCTTCAAGGGGTACAGTACTTGCCTATCAAGTACACGGCCCTAAGTTCAAACCTCAATACTGAAAAAAGAACTCATAAATAAGGTGATCTGACAGATAAAGACAGTTCTAAGAGAATGAAGTGCTCAAACAGAATGCCTGGTTACATGGGCTATTCTGTTAGATAAGGTCATCAAAGAAAGATCACTTGGAGGTGCTGAAAGGAAGCAGGCATGAAAATATCTGAGGAAAGAAACTTCTAGACAGAAATATCCACGTAGAAAGCAGTGAGGCAAAAGTAAGCTTGAGGTTCAAAGACAGCCTGTTGCGTGAGAGAGGGAAATAGAGGAGGCAATGGAAGATGGTAGTGAGAGGTGTGATTCTTGACCATGGTGCCCTTTAGACTCACCAGGGAACTTTAAAAAATACTGATGCCTGGGCCTCGTCCCCCCAATATTCCGGTTTAACTGGACCCAGGCTTAGTGCTCCTCAAAAGATGCGCTGGTAATGCTAATGCCCAGCCAGAACTGATTACCACAGGTAGAGGAGCAATTTGGTTATATTCAAAGTATGGTGATAGGCATTGGAGGGTTTTAGATGTCATCGTGCCTTATGCTTCTAAAAGAGCACACTGGCTGCTATACAAGAATGGAGCATGGGAGGTGAAACATAGAGGAAGAGGAACACTTAGGAGACTGGTGGTGAAAATGGGGAGAAATGAAAATATGCATGATATATTTTGGAATCAACAGGTGTTGCTCATGAGTTCACTGGCAACAGCCATGAATGGGGAAGGAAAGGCAAATATTCAAGAGTATTATTTAGCTCTTGGATTTAAGTTACTGGGTGGGCAGCATTACTCATTGGTAAAGGAAAACCTTGGGGAATGGGAGAAGGAAATGGCAGGTGTATCTTGACCCTTGGCTCTCCTTCTTGAACAAAGAAATCCTGCAGCTCTGAGGTGGAACAGAGCAACCTGGGTATTTGCAATGGGAGATGGGAGGGCATCTAGGGGACAAGACTGGCATGGCAGGTCAGAACTCAACCAGAATCATCAATGCTAATTATAATAATGCTTAAATAATAAAAACTATTACTTAATAGCTGAACATATTAAAAGGAAGTAAACACTTCTTATCAGAAACCTTGAGTGTGAACCAAAGGTCAGTCCGTAGAGAACCTAGAAAAATGGAAGTGGCTCTGGAAAAATGTATTATTCAAGAAAAGAAATGTGATCAGGGCACGGCCACTGCTGCTGGTGCTACACAGGCACAATAATCCAAACAAACTCACTTAAAAATTATGATATATCTACATTGGGTTACTGGTTTTAGGGATGAATGGTTGGTGGGGTGTGCAAGAGAGCTAACTCCTATCTTCCATAATAAGAAGTCAATAAATAAAAGTGAAAATGGAAATGCCAAGTCATAAAAGCTCAGTTATTTACAAATGAAGAGGAATACACCACAAAAATTTCATGAAAGAGTTGAACGATTTCAAAGAATTGAAATGTCTCAGAAACAAAGAGGCTCCAAGCTGAGGGAGTGGCTCAAGTGGCAGAGTGCCTGCCCATCAAGCTCAAGGCCCTGATTTCAAACCCCAGTACCACAAAAAAAAAAAAGTAGAAATGAAGAGAAGCTGTTTTTTTAACAACTAGCCTTATAAAAAATGATTTGACTTTTAAAATTATATATACTTACGACTGATGAAATCAAAGCACCAGAGGATGGCTTTGAAATTGCCTCTGAAACAAGTTTGAGTAGTGTGAACAGTCACAGAGCTTGTTCCCCGTTACTTTTCTTTTTCTTGCATCTCCCTGAACACATTCTTCATCTCCATCACTCATAGCACTCTAGCACTAAGTCTCCATGAACGTTTGCCATTGCTAGAGATTCAAGCACAAACTTGTGTTCATTTACTCGGTCAACAAATAGCTATAAATGCTCAGAAAGCAAGGCACACAACACCTCCATGTCGTCATCTCACTTTATAATGGAAAGAAAAGAGAACACACATACACATAAACACACAAACATACTAACGAAAAAGTGAATTTCATACGGGGCTAAAAGTTATGAATGAAAGAAAGAGGACAAGGCTGACACATGGGGTGCAGCTAGCTAGACAGCCCTCTCTGAGAAGGTCTGTGGGAGCTGGAAGATTTACCTGACTCGTGGCTGGTCATGCATTAAACATAAAAACACATGCTGAACACGAGTGCATCAGGCACTGGCTCCAAGGAGGAAGGAAACAGGTCCATAAGCAAGTAACTAAATACAAAAGGGCCTTTAATGGACTGCTTGGAGATCCTGGTGCACAAAGGAGAGAGTTATAAACAG